AGGCAGGCACTTGGGAGCCCTTTGGAAACACCACTCAGTATAGGAGGTGAGATCATTAGGTATTGATAGCCATGTTTGGTTTGCAGATAGCACAGAGAGCCCAAGGGATTAAGGATTGCACCTCTTGCCTCCCCCTTGTTCACTGGAGGGATTCAGTGCCCAAGAAATGCATCTCTATATGTTTGCACAGCTGTCAACAGCATCAGTTCTCCCCATCTTCTTCTCCAGCCAGGGCCATGTTCCTTCCAAAGGGATAGTGGGCAGAGCCAAATGTCTGAGCCCTGGGAGCTGAGAACAGCTCCGTGGGAGTGTGTGTTCGTGGGGGAAGGTGGAGGCACCCCCAGCACCTTACTGGGATCAGGGCAGGGCCAAAGCTGGCATGAGAGGAATTGCCCAACAGCCGAGTCCAAGTCCAGATGCAAAGAACCACCGCAGCTGTGTGATTCACAACCCTGCTTGACTCCATAAGAAACACAGCTGATCAAAAAAAATTCCACCCACATTTTATACAGAATAGAAAAAAAGCCTGTTTTTCAAAATATGTTTGGTTTCTGCAGGTTTTGTCAATAAGCCCAACACACACTTGTGCTTTAGGTTTCCAGACACCCACAGGTTTCCTCTGTGCCCTGGAGAGGGAGGCAGGGCCCTCCCTCCTGCTGCTCCCTCTCCAGGCAATGAAGTCCCCAGTTTCCTTATGTCACAGGTGTGTGGTCAGGCTAAGGGCACAGAAAGCCAGACTGGCAGTAAAAATGCAGGCAACATATCCACTCTCAGATCCAAAAAGCAAAGAACTCTTTCTTCAGAAAATCCTTGGCTACAAAGGAAAGAGTATTGCTGCAAGCCCCTGCATGGGAGGTGCAAGAGAGCTTCTGCATGCAAACAGCAGAGTTCCCCTGGGAAAAGACTTTTAGTATAATTCCCACCTCATCCATGTTTTTCTTTCAGCCCTGTTCACTGTGAATTATTTTTTCAGACTCTACCAATTTTTCCTGCTTTTTTTCCCCGGGCAATTGCTTCAAGGTATTTCAGCATTAATGGGCCATGTGTTTATTTTTAGCTCTGCATCTCTTTAGTGTAGGAGAACCTGGTGGATGGCAAAATAAGTACCTCTAGCCATCATGAACAGATTCTGCCTCCAGTGCCCTTCCAGATACTAATTTGTCACTTTTTTTCAATGAAGTGACAGTAAATACATGGTGGCCTGCTGCACAAGATGCAACATGTGCATCTCTTTGACAGGCACCTGCAGGCAGAGACTACCTGGAGTGGCAGAAATGCTTCCAGCAAATTGTGGGACACCAGCTTCACCTCTATGCAGGCGCACAGAAACAGCAGAGAATGGAAGAACACTCCAAAAGGACACAATTCCCCAGTACAAATTGCAGACTACCCCTTTCACCCCAGCTGGAAGGACTTAATAAAAGACATGTCAATGCTGGAGCACCCCAGAAAACATGAAACTGTACTGAAGGTCTAACTGTTGGTGAGGAGTGTTGAGACAAAATGCCCACACAGACACAGGGACAGCCCAGAATAAGCCCCTGAGCTTCTGAGTAGAATTTGCCAAACAAGTTCCTGGCTCAGGCTTGTTGTGTCTGAAGCAGCTGTGTGTCTGCACTGCAGGTGGTGCAGAGCCCTCAGGACTATGGCAAGACCTAGAAACAGAGCTCAAAGATGATGACAGCCCTAGATGATATGCACACATATTCTCCAAGCCATGAGAATTCCCAAAACAGGGAGGGACCAACCTAAAATCAAAAGGTGTCTTCAATAACTTCATGTACCACAGAGGGGGGCCAAATGCCAGAATTATTGTCATTGGGGCAGAAAGAAAATCCATGAGCAGTGGAAGTGGGTAAAACTCACTTTGTTGAAGTGACTACACAGGAGGGTATAGGATGTCAGTGTGCAAGTCACCAGAGGAACTGCAGATGTTTCTAGGGCATTATTAATCTCACCCTAAAGGAGATGTCAGCATTCAGTCAGAGGAATTGTACCATTTCTCCATCAGAAGACTGCAAAGGTGCCTCCTGTTGTTATCTTAAGGGAACATTACCAGAGTTGTTCAGTCATCAGTGATTGTTGGGAAAAAAAATAAACCCCCCAAAAAACAATGTCATTAACCATTGCCCATGGGTAGAGACACATCTGTTGGGCAGAAATTATACCAGAATTATAATTCTGTATGATGGGACACAACCTTGGAAAACAATAAAGGCCAAGGAGGATCCTTCCCAGACCCAGTTATGGCTATTTGGGAAAACTCTCTGCTATTTATAGGAGTTTTTTCAAAGACATCAGTGTTCATTCAAAGGAGCTACAGGAAAAATTATTTAAAAGGTCAAATCTGAACTTTTTGATTTACTTTAATTTAATTCCTTCAGTTTCCTTAAGGAATGTATAAGTCTAAGGAAAGAACCAGATATATTTTATAGGGGTCTTAAATGAACAAAATTGCTGATATATTTCTAAGACTTACTGTGTGTGCAGAAGAACACGGGGAGGTAGAAGAGGCCTTTCTAGGCAGCATCTGGACAAGCCACACATGTTCTGGCAAAAGGATACAGGGCCCAGCTGCAGGAGCTTTTACCTCTCCTCTGAGCAAGTGCTGCTCACAGGCTGCTGTTTGGCCTTGGGAATTTTACCGCATTTTGATTCTTTTTGAGGGTCATTTGAGAAGAGGTGAGCACATACAGGGTGCCTGGAGTGGCAGGTCTGACTCAGCAGTGGCTTGACCACTGAGGCAGCAAGGAGGGGGAGGCACCTTCATCACTGCACCTTTCCCTGGTGTTGCAAGGGAACAGAGCTCCTTGTTCTCCCACCTGCCCTCACTGCTCCGCCGCCTTGGGGACTACACTGCTGCATTGCAAAGCATCCACAGCCTTGTGAGGGGCTGTGCAATGGGCTTAGGAGATTGCTTGTCCACAAGAAACTCAAAAAGCTTTATAAAGTCAATATACATCAACACTAGTTTCATCTCCTTGAAAACACATGTATGGGAAGGGCTTGTCAGCTGTACAGTTTCTCTTACAACTGTTTAACACATGATTTTTTGACCGGCACCGCAGCATTTTTTGCCACAGACCATGTCTGCCATGGTCCATGTTTGAATATTCCATCTTGGAAGAAGCATGAAATCCTGGAGCATAATTGTGACATGTCACATTTTCCAAGGGGTTGTACCCACTCACACCAGAAAAATGAAGGACCTGTGTGGCTTTATTAACTGGAACAGGGCTTATTCTTGCAGTGTTTTGGTTGATCTGTTCAATGTTGGGCATGACTTTTCACCAGTGGAATACTCTTCTTGGGCTGTCATTTATTTTATATTCTGCATGGTGTGTGTAGTGCTTTTAAAGCTCAAGGCTTTTCCTGACTATTTCCTTGACTAGGTTGTCATATGGACACCTGGGATCTGCAATGCAGAAGTGGCACCACCACAGTGCTCCCTAAAGAACTTCCAAAACGCTTCACTCACCACGTGTGGTCCCTTGCTAATGACTTCCCCAGCAGCTGGGAGCAGCACTGTGGCTTTGCTGGGCTTCTAGTATGGCAGCCCAGTTACAAGGAATACACAGCTCCCATGACTGATTTCCCAGCCCTGGCACCTTGCTGATCACACAAACAAAAACCTGTAGATGAAGGCTGTGTGTCGCATGACCTCTTTGCAGGATGCTGACACAGCAGTGTCCTGTGCAAGCAGCAGGAAAAGCAGAGCCAGGACAGGTCACCCCAGGACTGGGCTACGTTTGCAGGGAGAAATGACTTCTGACAAGTTCCTCTTTTCGACAGGCAGGTCTGCATGCTTATCTCTGGGGCTGAAGGCTTTCTTCAAAGCAGGCATCAGGGAAAAACACCACCTGTACTTTGAACACTCCTGGCCTCCTTCTGACCTTTCCTCAGCCCCCTCTGGGAGTGAAATCTGGATGAAGGGGAGGATTACCTCTCTCCTTTCGTATCGGTAATTAAGTGCAAAAGGATAAGGAGAAAAACTCTGGGATTTCATCGAAGAGAGGCCAGGACAGGGGACTGGAAATTTCGTGTGGGTAAAAGCGTGGAGGTCAGTAGGTCACCCAAACTTGGTGTAATGCTGGGCAAGGATGGGTGAGCAAGTCCCATTCATCTTTGTTGCTTCAGTTGCAGTATTTTGATAATGCACAATACAGGAAAGTGCTGCATAAAACAATTACTCATAAAGTCCATCCAACTCATGTGTAAATGAATTCCAAAATATTAAGTTTGCCCTTAGCCCTTATAAAGAACAGGTTGAATCCCATTTGGATCATTGATTTTAAGTGAGAGTTCAATATCAAAATGCTTTTGACATATTTTCCACCTCTGTAGATTGTAGAAGTTATTTGCTGTTGCTGCATTTTTTATTCGGTCTTCTGACTCTGGGAGCAGAGTTGGCAGGTGTGATCACAGAGGGGGGGTCTCTCTGGTTAGCTGATGGCTGGTGGCTGGCTTACAGGATGACAAGGTAATGAGATGTGCTTGCAGAAGGTTCAGGAGCCCCTGTGCCACTGCCAGCCTCTCTGGGGAAAGCACACAGACTGGGCAGAAGAAGGACAAGGATTTGTCCACTCCTCTCAGCTCCACTCCATTTCACATTATAGAGGTCAGCACACATGCTAGGAGGACATGTATGCAAGTCCATTATAGGACTTGAAATTGAATGTAAAGCTTTTTTCAGTCCAGGGGAAAATATCTCACTAAATTGGATGGCTTTTGATCCCATTTTGGGTCCACACTATGCCACTAAAGGGAAACCAGTAAACTCTGTGAAAAATGTTCTGCAAAATTTTATAGTGCATTTTATGTATTTTTTCATTTTTTAACAGGAGAACTCCACACCAGATGTTCTTTCATCTTCTTGCTTTCCTTCCCTGCTGTTGACAGTGATTCAAATCCACTGAGGGCAGAAAAGCCACAAATACTTAGACGACAAAACATAAAGCTTAATAGTTAGATAAAAACTTGCACAAAGATTAGGCAATTTCTTGTAGTTAATACCAATCTATAAGTTTTATTGATAAACATTTCAGCCAAGAAATACATTTTCTATGTCTATAACGTATTTTAAAGAGTTGTTTTCCCAAGTTTCTTCACAGTCTTATAATTATTGAAGTCTGATGTGTTTTTATCTCCATAATGTAACTGCCGGCTGGGATCAAGAAGAAATGTATCCATGTGTCATACAGATATGTTCTACTTTCCCCACAGCATTCCAGGGTGGACTTGTTGTTTTGGAGGTGCTTTTTTCTGTGTTTTGTGGCTTCATAAATAGGTCGCTGCTGAAGAAACAAGAAACAAAACCATTGGCGAATCCTGGTGTCACAGTGACTGTGCAATATGGGGATGTGGGAGCATTCTCATTGCAGGGGGGTTAGACTAGGTTTCCTTTAGAGGTCCCTTCCAACTCTAACTCTTCTATGACACTATCCTGGCCTCTGAGTCAGTGACATCTTGGTCTTTATTCCCAAATCCGGTCTGTTTTGCTGAGGATTAGGATAACATGCTGGAAGTTTTTGCAGGGGTGTATTTTTGTGCCTTGAAGTTGCTTCTCAGAGTCAAAAAGAAAGCCTGTGCTGATGCAGGATTTGACTGCTGGTGATGAAGTATGATGCTATCTCAGAAACAGGGAAAGTAAAGGAATACATTCACACATGAGATGTTGGCCCACCTGTCTCTCCTGGAGAGGAGCAAGAAGGCGTTCATCTCCTTGGAGCCATGTGGAGACAGGGAGGAGAGGGCACACAGTGCTACAGAGACCAGCACCCTGTTTCAGATGGGACTGAGATGGGGATTGGAAAAGGACCACCTGCTTGTTGGAGTTACGAGTCAATAAATCAGACATCAGGCAGGGAGATGCATTGCCTGCAATTGCTTGCAGGCCCCTGTGTGTGAGCTTGTGCAAAGGAAGGAATGATGACTGTGATGGAGGATGCAATAGAGGCTCTGCCAGTCATGCTGGTTGTCCTTTGTATAGGGTCACCATCCCAGGGCACAGACATGGAGCTGTAAATCCATGTGTCAATGCTGGAGCCAAGCCTGGCTGCCCAAGCTGACATGTAGTCCTGGCCATGCAGGCAGCAGGCTGTTCTGCAGGCACATGGTGCAGGCAGGGGTCAGTGGGGGATGCATCTCTGGGACATAGGTGAAGTGATGCTCTGAGGGATTCCTGCATGGAAACAGAAAGGCAAAGCATGAAGAAGGGCCTTTCCCCACCCAAGCGGGGAGCTGCACATGCTGTGCAGTGTTGCACTCACCTAAAATTCCTTGTTGCCTTTCAGATGGAAATGAGCATTACTGAAATGCTTTGAAGATTCTGTGTCATAATTCCCCCAACCCAAAACATACAGATGCTAAAGAGCACTTTGTGATGAATAAATGATGTGACAAAAAAGGAACAAGAGTGAGTATGCAAGCTCTTCCCCCATCACATGCATGGGCTGAGCTCTTCCCTGCTGCTTCCTCACAACCTCTTTACCCTTTCTGTTTTGTACTCCTACAAACATGCACCCTGTACTCTAATATACCCTATAGCCTTGCTTTATAATCCTCTGTTATCACGTCATCTTCCAGCACTTGACCACAGCACACTACACAGCCTGACCCACCTTTGAAATAACTCGTTTGAGCTCTCTCTTTGAGGGGCTGACTCGCAGCACCCCACAGCTGCTCAGTGCCTTTGTGTCCCTCTGCACTGCAATGAAAGCAGGGCATGGCACCATTGGGCTCCCTCCCACGGGTGGGCTCCTTCTCACAGCCCCCAAATTCACAACTACGTCTGCTGCTGCTGTGTAAATGAAAACTGCAGGATCAGAGCCCTAAGGGCTAAAAAATATTGTAGTGTTAACATTTATTCGGTCTCCTTGGGCAGCTCAGCTGGCAGATCGTTAAGTAACAGCTGAGAAGGAGGCAGCAGGCAGGAGTGCTTGAGAAGAGAGAGTGAGGCTGGCAGTGGGAAGGAGGGGACGGATGGGGCTCACAGCAAGGGCTCCTAATTCTAAACCCTGAGCAATATGTGCTGCATGTCAGAGGCAAGTAATAGACGAGGAGACAGTAGTGGTTTTCATTTAATAGGGAAACATAATTTCTGCAAAATGCTGCCTGCGATATTTTGCCTCTCCGCAGCGTAAGTGGTATATGTGGGAGAGCTCAAGTGTTTGCAAGTCATTGAGCAGGAATAAAACATCTCTCATGTTTCTCCAAGTGCCTGACTGCCTGGGGAGCAGCCGCTGGACTCACTGAGCCCAAGTCAATGGGAATTTGACACTGTGGATCTGCTTCCCCAGGGATAGCAGCACCCATTTTCCAAGTGGTGTTCCCCATTCCTAGCAGCTGGGCATGTGCTGTATGGCACCCGGAGCAGTGTGGTAGCACAGGGCAGTGCCAGGACACCCAGCTTGTTAGCCCAGATCCAGAGCCAGGTTCCAGGGGTTCTGCTCACCCTGCCAACAACAGAGACAGAGCACAGGCAGAGCAAGTAAAAGGAGATTTAGACACCTCCCAACTCCCCATCTGATTTTCCCACTTTTATTGCAAACTCTTTGAGTGGGGGTCATCACTAGAACACAACCCAGAAATGTTTGGATTTGGAGATAATCCAGTAATAACAGGAGATATTAGTTCTTCAGAAAATTTGTTGCTGGATGCTCATCTCCTTGGAGGATTCATTATTGATGGTCTCCACATGACTTTTTTCAGCAGTCTCTTTTAAGTTCAGTTACATGTTTCTTTATTTGTAGAGAAAGAGGAACTGAATGAATATGTCACCAGTTTGTCACTTTTTCATTCCTCTTTCTGCCATGGCCCTTCCTTTAATAGTGCGAACCAATTTTAGAGAAGTCTCTGATGTCATTGATGATCCATGGCCTCTGAGAACTGGAGAGCCAGCTACCAGTCAACATGGGCTCGCTGTCACTACCGAGGAAAGAACAGTACTAACACAGGCAGTGCTGGAGCAAAGCTGATGATGTGCTGTACGATCTCCAGCTGCTTCAAAAATTCCATTTTTAGTCCTTTTATTGATTAAACTGACAGATCCTACCCCTGTTCAAGAGACATTTTAGGCTGAACTGAATGCAGCTATCAGATATCGAGATACCAAATATGCTACAAGACAAAAATAATTAATTTTAAAGCACTGGTGCCCCGCAAAGACACAACTTGTGACCTACCTCAGTGCCCTTAACTCATGCAGAACAGTACTATGTTTGGCCCAAGCCCTCAGTTCAGGCATTGGCATACCTCATCCTTGTGCAAGGAAGAATAAATGAGGGCTGGGCTCCCCCACAGCTGAGCAGTGGGTCCTCATTCTGGCTAAACATGTCATTGCACAAATGAAGAGGCAAATCTAGTCCAGCTCTGTCTCAACCTCACTGCTTCATTAGTGCCATGGGCCCTGCAGATGGAGCCTGGGAGAGGCAGCTCCTGGCTGGACAGCAGGAGCTCCAGATGGCAGCTCGGCTTTGTGCCTATTTTGCCACAGTTGGAGCCAGAACTAATGAAGAAAAGCCACCCAAGGCCTTTCTGATTTTCCTTGAAGTCATTCCTGAACTTTTCTGGTTGGGCAAGAGCAGTAGGAGTGGGGACGGACAAAAAAAAAAAAAAAAAAAAAAAAAAAAAAAAAAAAAAAAAAGTCTCTCCTCTTTCAGTGAGAGGGAGCAAAAAATATGAGGGTGGAATCACAAGGGTGAAATTAGCACTCTGCCAAAAGCCAGCCAGGAGTCCTCCATGGATTTCAGAATATGACAGAGAGAGGAAAACCCAACACATTAAATCTAGCCACACTTGAAAGCTATAGCACAAAATCATTTCTACTCAGATGCCAAACCTAAACTGTGGTGAGAGAGAGACTTTGGCTGGAGGTTGGGCTGGCAACACACTCGGTACCAGCTGCTGTGCAAATTGTGTTAGTGACTTCTGTTCAAGACACATATTGAGAGATGTTGCTCAAGCCATATAACTGAAATTTCTTATTCATTCTGGGCATAAAAATCACTCAGTGGAAGTTTTTCAATAATATTGCTTATTGCATTGGTTAAGAACAGCCTGAAGTAAAATTCCATCTTACTACAAAGAGCCTGTTTACAGCCTGGCATGCAGGAAAGGCACTGGCAAGGTTGCAGCTCACAAACCCAGCAAATTCACCTGGTAACTGCACACTTCCCTAGGGGAGCCTTCATCCTGCAGGATCAATAGAAGCCTGGTGTAAATGGCTCTGCACTGCTAGCCCTGGAAGTAGTGGAGAAGAAACTTTGATGTATGGAGGCTCTGGGCTTCTGGGCCTTCTGCATGTAGGAGCAAGACAAGTAAAGCCATAGTGGCCACTCTTGCTGGCTGTGGCTGATACAGCAGCTGAGCATCTCAACACCACAGGGATGGCTCAGAGCAAATGTCCCTGTCAGGCTGGTGCATCAATGGCTGAGCAGCTCAGAGACATGAGGTCCTCAAAACCCTAATCTGAATGCTCCTTGGATGATGGGGGTAATTCAGCACACACACGGGCAACTTGTCAGAGCCAGGCTGGGTCCAGCCTTTGCAGGCTGTCCTGTGCCAGTGATGAGGATCTTCCACAGCAGAGGCAACTTTGACAAGGCAGTGGTTTATGTCACCACGATTACTGACCAGGTAGATGTTGCTCCATGCCTGGTGAGCAACAGGGGCCAAATCACACACTAGGCAAATTCTCTAGAAACAGAGTCCTATGGTTATGGTAAATGGAATCTTCCCACATCCAGTTGGGGCTTTTTGTTTAATGTATCCATATGCTTTGATTTGCAGGCAGCAGAAAGCTCTGCTTGAGATACATCCATCTTAAATTAGAGCTCTTTATTTTATGCTCTACTCTTCTGATTTTATGACCATGAATGGTAACTTATGTCTGAAGAGATTTATTGCTTTGCTGTCACTCTCCTGTCACAGTGTCACCCAGCACCCAATGCTGGCACTCAGAGGTGTGCTGAGGCGTGCAACAGCACTGGGCAAAAACAGGCAGGGCTCGTTTTATTTCTGTGCTCATTATCATTTCAGATTTATAGGTGGCCCTTGTGTGATGAAGTCAGAGCCAGGTTCAAGCAACATAAATTCAAATCCAAGCCATGTCTAATGTTTCCTGTGTTCTCTGCAGGAAGTTACATAAACTCCTAAGCTACAGAATGGAGATAAACTGTCCTAAAACTTTGCTGCCCCTAATATATTGTCTGGATGATCTGCTTAGGCTAGTCCCTTTGGGCTGTTAGCTGCATCTGCAGACATTTGCACATCTGGCCCTGAATTTGGCTGAAAACTTGCTCTCCACATGTGACAAGTCCATGAATAGTGTTTACTCCTTCTGGCCTTCAGTAAGGTGAGAGGCTCCCCAAAAAGCCACTGCAGGCCTCAGGATGCAACAGCTCCTCTGCCAAACAAGATACAGCAGCCAGGCACCACAGGCAACAGCTCAGTACAGCAGACAAGCCAATGAGTGCATTACCAATAAAACTATGCTTCGGTGTAGCTAGAGAGAAAATGGATTGATGCTGGGCCTAGACTGCTATGAGGTGACAAGAAGATCCTGTTGGGAATTTGCCATTCCTTAGATCCATGTTCCTGCCCTCATACATCCCCAATGCTGTTCAAAATCATGGCTAGAGGGGGATCTGCAGCTTGTGCCCATCAACTGTCAGCAAATCATGGGCAGTGCCTGTTCTGAGGAGGTCGGGGTAGCTTGTGCCAGCTAAAACTTTGTCCTCCTGGCAAAAGCCATGTCAGGCAGTCAGGACATCCTACCCTATGAATAGAAGAAGTGGCAAGGCAAGGCTGTGCTCTCATAACAGAGAGCAGATGACAGCTCGGGGATATTTTATTTGTTTTAATTTGTGGTATGCAAATTCAGATGCTGCAGCAGATGTTCTTTAGTCAGAATATGTTTTCTGAATGTCACTTTAGTGATCTGTCCTGCTTTTTTTTTGTCAGGTTGGTGATCCTCTGCATTACATTTCTTTTTAGTGCTTCTTTGTTATTTAGTGGCAAAATACCCCGCAAAACAAGCATTTATTCTTCTAGAGGTTAGTGTGATCTGAATATCATCTGGCCTATTTTATGTTTTTTTGTGAAAATATCCATAACCTTCTGCAAAGCTGATGTGGAGAGACTTCTGACAGTCATCTAGCTATGCAAAAAAAATCTTAAATT